AAGGAAGGAGGAAAAGGTAGGGCGCGGGGAAGGAGTGGTGGTTAAGCTCGCTTTAACAACTGCCCACCGGTAACACATAAAGTGGCTAATCTGAATTTACATACTCAAGACTTGTCCACATCGTACCAAAATTAGGCAGGGTCCAGCCTCAGGGCTTTTGCATTTGCTGTTCCCTCTGCCAGGAGTGTTCTTCCCCGACACCATCTGCATGACTTAATTCCTTCGCTTCCTGCAAGTCACCTCCCTGATTATTAAAATGTCACCTTCTTAGCGAGGCCCTCCTTGACCACATTATCTACCCTTGCTGCACACTTCCTATTCTTTCTCTGCCTCATTTTTCTCCCTATTATTCGTCACTAACACACTATGCACTTTAATTGTTTGTCTTGTTTATTTTCTGTCCTGTCTCCTCCACTGGAACATATGCTCCACGAGGGCAGAGATTTTTGTGTTTTATTCACTACTGTAACCCCAATGCTGAGAACAGTGCGTGGCACACAGTGGGAGGTTCATAACTGGCTGTGATGATTGGGTGGCTGAGAACATGAGAGACCACACCCTGAGAAAATAAGGATGCTGCTCGGCCAGACCCCTCTGGGTACTGAGAAGCCCAGCCTTAGTCCCTGTCTTAGAGGAAACGTGTCGCCTGCTGTGGAGGAGGAGACAGTGTCAGGGGGCGTCAGCTAAACCCTGCTGTTCGTGTTGAGGAGCACATCCCCACCACTACCACCAATGCCAGGCCACTTACCATCTTCTACACGAAAAAACCAAAGCATTTCTTTCAGCAGCTCCTGGGGAACCATGGTGCCAGCTGGGGCTCCAGTAGCACCCTCACTATTGTCCATGCCCCTGCTCCTGGTTGGGGTGTGTTTCTGGCAAGAAGTTCTTAGGCCCCTTGGCCCCAGTGGCCCTCCTGGCCTCCTAGGTTCTGGCCCCTGAGCAGACAAGCCCTAAAGACCCCTGAAAACAAAGCAGAAAGGATGACCAGATATCCCACCCCAGTTTGACTTCCCCTCCATGTCCAAACCCAGCTCTCTTCTGGCCCAAGATTATAGAACCAAAACA